TGTGTGTGTGTGTGTGTGTGTGTGTGTGTGTGTGTGTGTGTGTGTGTGTGTGTGTGTGTGTGTGTGTGTGTGAGAGAGAGAGAGAGAGAGAGAAGGGGGGAAGGCACAAGAGGGCATTTGACTTTCATTTAACCGGACACACCCCCTGGAGCAAGAGAGAGAGAGGGATGGAAAGTGAAGAATAGCAAGAGAACAGGAAGCAGGGGAGGAAGAGATGGTGAGAGGGACAGTGCAGAAAGAGATCCCAGTGGGATAGTACCATTCGGGCCACTATCTTCTCTTTGTGGGGGCAAGCCACATCCTCACTCCAAGTCTCACCCTAGATGATTCGAAAAATGAAAAAAGAAAGATGACAAGAAGTACTAAATCCTTTGATCGCTTCTTTATAAAGCAGCCATCAATGATGTTCGGGGTTTCTTCAACCTTTAACAAAGAAAGTCTGGATGTGCCAGTTCAAGGGAACCAGAATGATGCTCCTCAGAACGGATTTGGAGCCAGGACGATAAGCAACTGTTTTAACTAATTATATCTTTATAATAAAAAAGCACGGGCTAGAGACCACATTTACTAAAAAAAGGAAAACATGGGATGCAAGCATATGCCATGTCCAGAAAATCACGGGAGATGACAATGGCTTTTGTAGAGCTTTATAATTTACAAGTGTATTAACCAGTTTTGGTGATCTTTGGTTACCATCATGGTCCTCTGGTTGTCATGCTCTTTGGCCGAACACGACACCGTATTGTTCCACTGCATTTCAATATTCAACTAGTTGGAAATACACGATCATGCTGTGACTGCCAGGGGTGATATTACCACCATCATGTGTCAATCATTCACGAGTAGAACATGACACAGAAAAGAAGTATAAAATCACTAGCAGGGGTGGCCACAATGGATCACGTGTGATTCCATTCTGCAGCCCAATAAAAGAAGAGAAAAAAGAAAGGGGGGAAAAAAGAAAAGCTGTTCACACAATCAGCCTTTTTTTTTCAAAGCAAGTCAAAAATATTATACCCATCACTTCAAAGTACCTACCTTATCAAGAGAGTTCAAGTACGCAACAGCTGTCTCGCGATTTGCCATGAACGTGTACTGATCCATAGCAATGTTTGGAGAGCCCCTGGAACCACAAGTGGAAAAAGAAATTGAGCAGGATATAAGATTTAGAACGACACCCCATGAGAGAACCAGAGTTATGAAGCACAGAATTCTATACCGAATAGTGGGCCAGAAAAACTACGAGAGTCAAGAATGTCACACAAATTGAGTGCAATGCAGAGCCATCCCAGTTAGACCGGGCCACATCCAACCACTCCGGTCGGACCCCCAGTGATTGGGCCAAAAAGTGTCATATGACACACTTTTTGGCCCAACCACCAGGGGTCCAACCGGAGTGGTTGGATATGACACACTTTTTGGCCCAACCACCAGGGGTCCAACCGGAGTGGTTGGATATGACACTCTTTGGCCCAACCACCAGGGGTCCAACCGGAGTGGTTGGATGTGGCCCGGTCTAACTGGGCCGACTCTGCATTGCACTCAATTTGTGTGACATTCTTGACTCTCGTAGTTTTTCTGGCCATATATATATATAGTCACAAATTTATCAGAGCGCAAATGCAAAAAAAAGAAGAAATAAATTATTTTTTTATCTTCTTCCTTACAAGACTCCCCCTGTTCAATATATATATAAATATGGTCGGACTGAGCAACCGGCCCGGTTGGACCGGGCCACATCCAACCGCTCTGGTTGGACCCCCGGTGGTTGGGCCAAAAAGTGGGTCATATTGACGATATATGTATATATATATCGTCACAAACAGAACTGCCCGGTAAACCGTAGGCAGAGAGAGAGAAGAAGACAACAAACGAGGGGCTGTGACAAACTGTTTCGTCGGAGTTTCACCGACTCATCAGGAGGCTGAATATATATATATATACTTTTTGGCCCATATATATATAAACATGGTCGGACTGCACTCGCCAAAATCTCCTCGAACCACAAAGAAATGTTGAACAGAGAATTTTATTTGGCGGGTGGAGGGGGAGGGGATGGGGCCATTTCAGGGGTTGGGGGTCGGAGGTTGGGAGGGGTAGTGGCGGGGTTTCAGCAAGCATGGGCTTCAGCAGACATTGCCAACAAACCTGGCTTTCTGCAAACGTGGACGGGTGGGTACCTGCAGCATCACATAACATGAACAAAGGCATACCTCACAAACAGCAAACATAAGCAAACATGGGGAAGATAGAAGAAGAAGAAGAAACTAGGAGGAGAAGGAGTAATAGAAGAAGAAGAAGAAACTAGCTAATTACTTATCGGTGAGGATGGTGAGGGAGCGCCGGCAGGCTGGAGACGGCAGGGAGGGCACACCGGCAGGCTTGAGACGAGGGGGGCCGCACCAGCGGCAGTTAAATTGTGGAACGGGGAGGGAACGGTCGGTAGGTTGGGGGCAGCAGGGGGGCAGGGACAGGGGAGGGAACAGGTAGGCCAGTGGGTGGGGTAGGGCCAGTACTTCCCACCCAAAAAGTTTGAAAAGGGAAGCCTATCTGGGCCACCAGTCTCTCGAGATCAACGATCCAGATAGGCTGCCCTTTTCAAGCCTTTTGGCCGGGCCTACCAAACCCGGTTTGATTTTTGGGAGGGAGGCAGGAGACCTCCACGGCCTGCATGGAGGCATCCTGGCCCACATAAAAAAAGCAACACCCCCCAGATTCAATGCACTACAGCAGACCCGGGAAGCAGGCCAGCCGACCGGCCGGTAAGACCAACCCAGTTCCGATTGGGAGTGGGGCCCCGGATCCTACTGGATTTACCGGTTTGATTTTTGGGAGGGAGGCAGGAGACCTCCACGGCCTGCATGGAGGCCTCCTGGCCCAAATAAAAAAAGCAAGACCCCCCAGATTCAATGCACTACAGCAGACCCGGGAAGCAGGCCAGCCGACCGGCCGGTAAGACCAACCCAGTTCCGGTTGGGAGTGGGGCCCCGGATCCTACTGGATTTACAGCACTGGTGCAATGTGTCATTTTCGCTCCTCGTCTAGATGTAATGTTTCCTTTTTCGTTTCTTTTCCTAAAGACTGTTATTTTGCTAAAACATGTGAACTACGGATGACACATCTTAATCCTGTGCACTGTGCAGCCGACAGACACCACCTCGTTCCCCAGGCATTTTTATTATGCCTGGCCCTCTTTTTCTTTTCCAAAAAACAGCAAACTGGGACACTTACCCAAAGCTCAGCTCACCATGACAACTTCATGTGGTCCGATGGACCACGGATCAGATATTAAACTGATCGGAACAGATACTACACTTGATCTTAGCCAAAAGCCTTCACTCTTAGACTGTTTCTCTGCCGAACATCAAGGCAAATGAGAAATCTCCATCCCTATCCCTCATCATGGACACAAACAACATACCCAATGCTTCACATTGTCAACGACTAGATGGCTGGATACTTACTTGCCCCACCAAAGATCATGCTGATGTTCCTCATCCTTCACAACACGCTTGTCCTTTGGAGATCTACCTGTCTTCTCTCCAGACAATGTAGCCAGAGCCCCACTTGAGACAATAAAATTGTCATCTTCGTCGCCAATAGCTTGTTCATAAAGCTCTGCAGTTCGAAGATGACCACAAAATACACAATATTATATACAGTGTCTATATATCAATGTATTTATATGTGAAGTATTTTTATTTCCGATAGAATAATAATAAATGTAGACAAGCAATAGACTAATAGTTACCCATCTTATTCAAATTGCAGCACCCATATCTCAGAGATATCAACCTCGGATTATCAACCTCGGATTATCAACCTCAGATTATCAACCTCAGATTATCAACCTCAGATTATTAAACGCCCATAACACACAATGGTGCATAATCATCCACTGACAAATTGCCTACATCTACATCAAACACACAAAAGTGACTTCCCTAGGTAGCAACCCAACTTACACACGTTCATCCATACACATCTGCTGCTGCCACATCTAAATGGTCACGACCAGTCACAACCACAGCGTATTCCTTGGACCAAAACATAGGGAAAACTCAACTCCATCTTCGAGACAAGGAGCCTCCATTTGTCAGCAACCAACGCCTATGGGTGAGTGAATGCGCGTTCGGTTGAAGGTGACTTTTGTGGTTTGATTCACACACGAGCAATTTGACAATGACCAATTACGCACCAGGCTTCTTCCTGAACACAAACACAAACTCGTCATCTTTCGCACCGTTGTTCTGCATCAGTATGGATCCTACCTTCTGATTCCAAGAACCTCTTAACAACTAAGGCAAACAATTACAATCACAATTACAATTACACTACACTGTAATTTCAAGCCACCAGTGCCGAAGGGTACTCTCATAAAGACGTTTACAACTGATTTCTAGCCCTAAATGGAGTCAAATACATCCGGGGAAGTCACAGGGCAAGTGTGTTCTCAGCAATTTCCCTAGCATCCCGAGCCCACACTCCGAACAGCACTTGCAGAAGATGCACTGGTGATTGCAACGCTAGAGGAAGCAACAGTCTACCTATCAAGTGTTGACTACACTTCATTTCCATCACCCAAGATGCCAAAGCATGTGACCTGGGCATAAAAAATGCACCAAGGATGCAGGCATGAGAATCCCATGATTCAGACTTCTTCCCACAGTGGCTACAATCCTTGGCTTTTTGACCCAAGCGTGCCAGTTGGAATCTCTGCACAGTCCCGGAGGGATCCGAGTTCGTAGAAGTACAGTACTCGACCCGATAACCAGTCTCACAATTGGACCTGGAATGAGGGTCATGTACTGGATTGACAGTGAGTGTGCAAGAAATGTCATGTGTGGTCTTCTGTTTCTGTGAGTGAGTGGACTGCAGCCATGCAGGAGTGCAGTGGATATCATGGACCTGGAATGAGGGTCACGTACTGGATTGAGAGAGTGCAAGAAATGTCATGTGTGGTGTTCTGTTTCTGTGAGTGAGTGGACTGCAGCCATGCAGGAGTGGGGTGGATATCACGACCGGTATGGTACCACTTTTGAACACTGTGTCATGGCTGCAGTGGTTAAACAGCTTGCCAAGGGTGCCGGTTCAAATCTGTGCACAGTCATGGAGGATCCAAGGCCGTAGAAGTATTCTTCCCACAGGGAGAACCGAGATACAGCATCAAGACTTTTAGAAGGAACCACTCAGCTATGGGCTGTTTGTCTCCCAGGCAGATGCATGGTCACCAGCGCCGCACATTACAGGAAAATTCAATAGAGCAAAACACGAGGGGTTGATGAATGCAATAAAAAGGAAGCTTGACAAGGCTGAGGTAAACAGTACACTGTGAAAAGCAAACAGCAAGCATACATGACATGTCATGAACCCAACACACGCATGAAGAATCCAGGATCCAGAAAGGTGGTCTCACCAGCAACTGACAGGTTGCGGAGAATATTCTTATTGCTCATCTTCGCAACATATGGAATGTGTGCAGCCTCCTTTGCCTTCTCTAAAGTCTCAGCTGCCCTGGCTGCAGGAGGGTCCCGCGACGCAGTCGACTGAGGTGCCTCGCATCTCGCTCCCATGCTCCTCCGGCAGCCATGCTACATAATCAAACCAAACCACAGCAAAGCATCCACAAAAGCACACATACACCAATGAGCAACTGCTTTAGCATCGTTTGGAGAACCGTAGTGTCATTTCAAATCTCATACACCATCGAAGCCGCACACACACAAACGGCCTCACTCCACTACACAGCATACTAAATGTATCTGTACCTGATAGAGGTCCAATAGATTCAAAATGTTTGATCAGCTCAAATGCATTGCTCTACAATCCAGTCCAGATACCTTTCGTTGAGTGGTGGAACGAGATCCGAAGTCAAGAACTGTAGAGATCTATCAACATCAGAAGGAACACCAAAAGCAAAGGACTCTCTATGGGTCTCCACTGACACTAATGCCCAAAATCATGGGGACGATCAGGACTAAATACTGACCAGGCCTAGCAAAAGACGGCCAAAGGTGTCCCTTACAATTATACGCCTGGTCCTTAGCCACATATCGCAATCCAGACAGTACATGTCTGGATGTCCGCGTTGGGTGTCCAGTGTGGAAGGTACGGTTTGGCCCGGTTCTAAGATTTTTTATTTTTTTTAATATCGGGGGTCCCACACCGTTTTCCAGGCCCTGGGTGCCCCCAGAAATTGCTTTTGTTACTTTTTTGGGTTCGGAGGCCTAACCAGACAGGCACCGAAGGGCCTGAACGTGGTAGTCTACAGCTGAGCATAGACTCAATCCAACTGCTGCAGCTGCAGCACCGCTGCTGCAGTCAGCTGCTGCAGTCGCATGTGCAGCAACCAGCCTTGTGTGTGTGTGTTGTCATATTCGCTATACAGTGTATACACTCCAATAAAGCATGACTGTGCCAGACTGTTTTATCGTTGGACTTTCACCAACTCATCAGGAGGTTGAACCCCAACAGTCTGCCCAGGATGCATTTGACTGATGAACAAGGACTCACCACGTCACCCAGAGTTGGTGATACCCCTGAGAAAAGGGGTCGACTTTACTCACACCAACCTGTGTGTATGCGTGTGTGTGTGTGTTAACCTGTGTGTATGCGTGTGTGTGTGTGTGTTGTTTAAAAGACCCCAGATTCTCTCTCTCATTCCCTTCACAAATCATCACAAACCATCCATAAAACAAAACGTTTAGAGATAATAATAAAAAATGCAGGGTGGGCCACGTTTGTGTGGTTCAGAGCCAAGTGCCCACACACCCATGTGGCTCAGCGCAAAGCGCCCACACACCCGTCTGCCGCCAAAGCTGCACACTTGCACATATATATTGCAAAGTCTATAAGGGGATGGAGGGCAGAAGGCAACTTACCTAAGATTGAAGACTACTCCAGCAAGAAGGCACCGACCCAACCCCCTCAGACCCCCTCAAAGGTCCGGAAAAACTTGAGACCCTTCCGCATCGGCCCACAAAACCAAAAACTCGTTTACTAAAAACACAACAAATATAACAGCATTGGCATTCCCGACATTCATCTCAAACTACACACTCGCGTCACTGCCAAAGAGGAGAAAGAAGATAAGAGACAACTTACCTAAGACAAAAGACTCCTCCAGCACTTGATCTTAAAATACGGATCAGTCAACACCCGACATTCCCCACCAAAAAGGGGACGGAATGTTATCTACCCTTACAAAATTTTGCCGAGGTTCCTTAGACAACAAGAAGTCAATCTTGGGCCTGAACAATTACATCAGGGTCTAAAGGCAAGCTCAATACAATGGGTCAAGAGGTGGCAATACACATCTTGGTCATATTTGTCCCCATCAAGAAATGACCTCCTTTCCTACGGATGCTTGACATTCACATATAACAAATAGGAACAACCCAGTTTTGGTTGGATATTTCGGGCATATCAAACGTGAACTAATACGGTGAAGATTATTTCAGCAGAGAAGACATTTCAAGATCCCGTTTGACCACATCAGGTTCCATGCGGTGCAGAGAAGACAGTAAATTAATGCTGCCTGCAAAGACAAACTCGTCACTTAACACACCCAATGTTAAGACGGAGACCCACTCCTAAGAATTTGCAAGCCAATGTGGACCACTCACCGTCCTAGAGCGGTTAAAGCACCCTTCTTCCCGAGGGTATTTGCCAAACCTGGCACACACCCATCCTGACCTGCTAAAACCAGCAGGCCACAGGACTCATAGCCAAGCGCAGCATTTTAGCACCTCCTGTGTAGGCACGGTTAAGCAGATTGGGGGCTACAGCCACACAGTATGCAATGGCACACTGTACGCTGACACAATGCACCCGGTCACAGTGGTAGCTTAGCTCAGTTGCTAGCTCAGTTGGTAGCTCAGTTGGTACACCCACAAAGTGGTTGAAATGCAGACAGACCAGAGTTCGAATCCTCAATGGAACTAGACGAACAAAATTCCTTACCTAGACCGGTCAGTTTACCTGTGTTGCAAAGTCTGACCAATCTTGGACTACACTATAACGGATTAGAATTGATTCTGTAAAGAAATGATTTCGTATACCAGTTTTGTATGCTGGCATGATGTAAGACATCAACCCACTTTCAAATAGTATCATACATCACTACCGTCTTCACCCGAATATAACGCCCGGTCATTATACCTGTACTTGGGGTATTTTTCAGTCCAGATGCAGCGATAATGACCGGGCGTTCTATTCGGGTGAAGACGGTAGTTCACTTCGTAATGGTATGATTTTGTTCCCATACACATGTATGACTTCCATGCTGAGCGTCCACACCGACACATTTTTCATTTGGTGGGATACTCAGGTTTCCCTATACCTCTCTCGGCCGTTTGGCTAAAATCAATTGTACTGTCTGCTCTCACCAGTGTAATATATAATCCCGGATCATATTTAATTATTTTTTATCCCTGGGCCATGGAGCGGTCGTCCGGGTGAACTTTTGACCCCTTCAATGTTGCCTCTGTATTGCACCGAACAGAGCAGAGTGCAGCTCGGGTGGCGCCTCCAATTACTGTGTACCCAGGGCTGAATTGAGCCGATTGAAAGAGCCCTGCCGTCTTCACCCGAATAGAACGCCCGGTAATTATTGCCGTATCTGGACTGAAAGTTCCACCAAATACAGCTACAATGACGGGGCGTTCTATTCGGGTGAAGACCGCAGTAATCCTCCTTTCCCATTATCACAGGATTGATGAAGAGAATACAATTTGCCGGGGGCCATGCCCAACTTCTAGAGGTCTGGTTTGGTTCGGAGTCGTGCGACAGCTCAGATGTGTAAGAAAAATGAGGCAGCTCATTCTCTGAGAGCGTTAGATCATGGGCTCCTCAAATAGCTTAAGATTTGCCAATCGGCCTAGCTCAGCTGGTACACATATGGACTGTCTAAATACGGGCCTGAGTTCGGATCCGGAGGAATGAAATTCCAAAGAAAAGAGAAAGCTTAGATTTACCTATTCTGACCTGAAAAAGTATGGAAAAAAACAAAAAAAACTGCGACAGTGTACCTGACGACTGACGAACCAACCACAGCGTTCTTCGGATACAGAGGAACAACACCCAACAGTCCTCGCTTCTATCCTACGAAGCAGCAGGGTTTACTCCCTGTTTTTTTTGGGTTCCTCTGGTGGCGCATGCATCTGGAGAAGGCTGTGATTAGTTCGTCAGTCGACAGGTAAACTGGCAGTTTTTCTTTCCATTCCAATCTCTTTAAAATTTCCATTTCGCAAGACATAAAGCCGCGCAATTCGAGCAGCCCATGATCTGACCGCGTCAGAGAAAAGCTGCCTCATTTCACTTATGATCTGGGCAGTCGCAGGAAAACACACCTACCCAATAGCATCGGGCCACAGTGATGTTAAATTACTTTTTCTGAGCTACGGAGAGGTCACGCGGGCAGGCTTGCCTGCTCGGTCCCTTTATTCCCAAAAAAAAACAAAAAAAAAACCTACCCCATCCCAACGGAAATACATCACAACAGTCCAGTACCCGTAAACCAGCAGGAAAATGCGGTCACAGGTTCCAATAAACACAATAAAGCCTGAGAATAGCGAGTCGTACAACCGCTCCCTCTCCGTACCCACCCAGCCCCGCATGACGCTCTTCGCTGCGCACCGAACTCGCGCGGTGCAAAATCCACCATCTGCGCAAAGGAAGACCTTGGTTGAAACCCTGAGCACGGAATACGTCATTGCCGTCCATACCGAAAGAGGGGCGCTGGAAAGACACGCTGAGAAATTGTAAAGCATCCGACATGTTCGCCGGTGCTCACGAATCGATACTGCCGGTTCCAATACCTTCGGTTACGGCTTTTCCCACAGATCCCTGGGATTCTCTAAGATCCTCTAAGATTCTCTAAGATCCTCTAAGATTCTCTAAGATTCTCTAACATCCTATAGAATCCTTTAAAATCCTCTCTAAGAAGATTCTGTAAGATCCTCTGATCCCCTAACATCCTATAGAATCCTCTAAAATCCTCTGAAATCCTCTAAAGATTCATAGACATGTCTATGATCCTATTAGATCATATAAGATTCTCTAAGATCCTTTCTAAGATTCTTTAAGATCCTCTGATCCTCTAACATCCTATCAAATCCTCTAAAATCCTCTGAAATCCTCTTAAGATTCACAGACATGTCTATGATCCTATTAGATCATATAAGATTCTCTAAGATGTTAAAAATATTCTCAAAGACTCTTCGACATTCTCTAAATCCTCTAAAATCCTCTAAAATCCTCCAAAATCCTCTTAACATTCTCTATGATCCTATACGATCATATAAGATTTTCTAAAATATTATAAGGATTCTCAAAGATTCTTAGACATTCTCTATTTTTCTTTACGGATTCTCAAAGATTCTTAGACATTCTCTATGATCCTATAAGATCATATACGATTCTCTAAGATCCTCTCTAAGACCCTCGAGTTCGAGTTCAATTCAGGGATCGGGAAATTTCATCATCGTATCAAATAGTTGGAATGTTTTTCGTTTACTGAGACTAAGGTACTAAAAACTTCACTTGCCTGTTGATCGTTACCATGGAATGGAATGCCGCAAACTCAACGGCATACGGTAAATTTCTTCCCGCAGCCTTCAGATATACATCTACTTCGCTGGACCCTGATTATCCTCCCGTAAATGAAATCTTTGAGCTTCAATCCCTAAATAAAATCTCTAACAATAGGGTAAACCTTAAATTTATCTATCTCCTCGGCCTTCAGATACACAACTTCGCTGGTCTAGTTACTCGCATCGACCCTTCAGTGCGTAAAAGAAATCTCTGTGCTAATGAATCCCTTCAGATGATAAGCCAAAAAAAACAAAAAACAAACCAAAAACGAAAGAAATCTTAAAAAAGTGAGTGCTGTGCGGATGAGCCTCGTAAATTTCGTTGAGAAGAAAATAGAAGTGGAATCATAACACCTTCATCCCATATCGTCGATCTCGGGCGCGTCACACAGGCGGCATCCGGATCTCCCTCGTCAATGCGTTTCCAAAATATTGGTGAAGATCGCCAACAGAGCTACTACAGTAAAGGGAAAAAAACATATCACAGCGCCTTCAGAGGATGAGTTAAACATGAAAAATAAAAAAAAAATACCAAAGTGCCTTCAGAGACGTCCGGAAGCCTCCCTCATGTTAAGGTCTCTTCAAGAAGCCCTTACTTGATACTAAGTCTTCCTAAAAGCGCACGTTCCTACGCATTCTATCTATCACACCGATCACGTGGACTGCTCCTTCCCGTGCTACTGCTGCAGAAAACGGAAGTCGTTCGCCAGAACTCCGCCCAACTTAAGAAAAGTGCATAGATCTATACACCATGCATTATACATACTAGTAATATCCATCATTGAAAGAACAAACCGAGCTCAATCATACTTTCATAAAGGCTAATGCCTCGCCATGAGGAAATACAGGTAACAATCGCATACAAGAGAGACCCCCCAAACATCACAAATATAAGAGCATCACAGTAAAGAAGGCTGCCAACTGCATCACTGAATCAAAGCCCATTTCACTCGTCATCATAGTTACTGTAAGCAAAGGCCATCTAGCGTCAATCATCCGCGGTCTCGACAATTTCGATCGTGTATACCAGACGAAGGCTATCATTCTATTCAACTTCTTTCTAAGATCGCCTTAAAGAAACAAAGAGAACGACCAAATATGCATATACATATATAAACAAATATATACATGTATACAGACATATATATTCAACTTCTTTCAAAATTTACCTAAGCGAAACAGAGAAAAACCAAAAAAAAAAAAAAAAAAAAAAACGGAGAATCGGACTCCAAATGGCATACTGTTGATGCATGCGCTCCAAATGGACACACACGATCCTGCTATGCAGCTGCCAAACACACCATACCACGTGGAACCGCGCGCGCTTCTCAAGTTAATAGGAGAAACCAGAAGAGGCGAAAACCAACACACACCAGCTTATCAGGCAAGCACTCGCCCTCAACACACCTTCCTTCGACAAATGCGCCGATCCTTCATCCGGATGATCGACATGTCCTGATCCTTCGCAACGGATCCGTAATTAGAAAATATCATCGTCCAAGTTCGTTCCTTTCCCTGTCCAAGTTCTTTCCTTTCCCTCCTAACCGAATTACAAGTACTACCCTTGCAATTTTCACACGTTTAATCGACTTTCGTGCACACCTGTGCTAGCGTCTTCCTCCCAACATAACGCACACTCGCCATGACCAAATCGCACCGAGACGAGAGCTTGTATACATCCAGGATGAGGGTGAATTGTGCTAGGGAGGACAACGGTAGTCGAAAAGGAGCCAACAGACACAGGATCAAGAGCACATATCGTGCACCGCGCGCTACACGACGGCAGTGACAAAGTCATCCCCGATCGGCAGATACAACCCAAATCCCCATGATGCTTCATCGGCACCGGCAACCTGTGCATCTGACACAAAAAGAAAACTACTTCGAGATGTCAATTGCGGAGTAAGCGGAAGAAGAAGAAGACGAGCAATGGCCAATTTCTTCTGTACACGCTCAAAATGATACATGCTCACACCGCGGAGTGAGCAGGAAAGAAAACTCAATGCGACTGGTAAGAGATGGAACGGGTGAGGGATACATGAACTACTGTCGCTGCATCTGACCGAAAGTCGTGCCAAATACAGCTATAATGACCAGGCGTTCTATTCGGGTCAAGACGGTAATTGCTGAAAAAGACGCAACGGGGGAGAGAAGTTAGGGAGAGAAACAGCGGGAAACAATTCCCGATAGTGGTGGCAATCGGCACCGAATACTAATTTTCAGGAGAAACAACAGTAATACTCTGCAACTATAAATCCAAACGTCTTGAGAAGTTGAGAGAGATTGCTTTCCAGGAAAGAGTTCCGAATTACAAATCTATCATCAGGCAGACTATCTCGACTCAAACGAGGATGAAATCATGGAAACAAGTCTCACCATGGAGAGAAATAGTGGTATGCCAATCGGCACCAAATATATATTCCTTTAAAAAAGGGAAAATAATCTGCAATTGCATGTCACAATCTCATGACAGACATTTCTTTTCAGGAATTCAAAGATTTTTCAAATTCCAAATCGACATCAGGCGAACCCGATCTCGTCTCCAAGTTCCAACCACTGAAGCATCTTCATCGCTGACGTTCGACTACAATTGCAAAACAATGATGCAATGATGCAAAGACCAATTGCAAGGATATCAACCGATCGAATATTTCGATCGATCGCGCACACTACTGAGCTTTTCTCAGACCGCCTAGTACGGAGTCGACCCCAGAGTTTCGAGGTCTTCTCAGCCCAAACGCAAGGCAGCGATGGATTTTCCCAAACACGGATCCACTATGGAGGCGGCTAAGGAGCAAAAGACAAAATAATTGAAGGCCCACAAAGACGCCGATCTCTTCGTAGCAATCTATAAGCCCCCAGGGGAAAATGACAACATGTTTGAAGCCCCGCAAACTTTAAGGCGTCGATTTCTTCGTAGCGATCTATAAGCCCCCTGATTCCACGTCAGACTCTCTTAAATAGTCGTTTCGTGCTTATTACAAAAAAAAGATACCTCATCATGATAGACTTACAGAGAAATGGAGAACGAACAGGGTTAAAGAGGGCAAGAGACGTGGCCATATCTATGGGTCGACATTTTAGCAACAGTTTTCAGTACATGTTCGCAATTAGGACCGCACCTATCTGTGGGTCGAAACCATTCACGGATCACTGTAGACTTCCCTATCACGGCAGGAAGGCTAGGCTCAGGCTGGTCGTCTTGAGACTCGCACACTCTCAGACAGAGAAGGCTGAAAGGTAGAGCGAAATAAAGAAGAGAGAGAGAAACGAATTAAGAGAGAGAGAGAGAGAGAGAGAGAGAGAGAGAGAGAGAGAGAGAGAGAGAGAGAGAGAGAGAGAGAACGGAGGGTAGAATGCGACGAAGAAGACAAACAAACGTCTTCCGCAATTGGGATCGGATCGCCTTACGTTGTGGAACGATAAGAAGATGGGAAGGGGTCGGGCAGGTATATAGGGGGAAGGTTTTTAAGCGCGAGCTTCCTTACCTCTGGGAATGACCGAATGGGCAACGTTGTGGAACGAATTGCGCGCGATCCTTGCACAAAATGCTTCCTCTCTGAGAAAATAGGGCTGCTGGAGCTCGCCAATTTCTGACTTCCTCTCGACTCCAGTCGGATTGGCATCGACACCCTTGGAGCCAAAGATGACGAGCTCGTACAGTCATGCCGACAGTCATCAGCAACAGCACCACATGCACTCTTCACCCACGCCGCCTGTGATGAAACGCGAGCAAGCGCTGCTGTCGTCGCCATTCGGCCGTCGGATTGCCCACGGCCTTCACGATTCGGTACCCACCAACCGCAGGTTGCCTCGCGAGGAGTCCCGAGCGAACTTCCCACTACCTCACTCTCCCACGTCAGTAGCGAAAGCTCTTGTCTTGACTTACCCAATTGATGCGAGAGACGATAGCCACAAGACGGAGAAGAAGAGTAACTATGAATATGGTTGCCGGACAGACCAGACGATCGAGCGGCACGGACAACCAATCGCCCGTGCAGCGACACAGACGCAGCACCCGCCACACGAGTGAAGCGATGAAGCACAGACTCGAATCGCATCTGTATGATCTACGGAACCGTCGTCCTGCGAATTCCCCTCCTCCCTGTGCTTAGGGATCGCCGACACCCAGGGATCACCGACACCGAGGGATCGCCGACCACAGCAGTACAACCGATACCTTCGATTCTTCCGTGATCGAACGAACTCCTAATATTATCATCACGTTATGAATCGCCCGGCAACGGCGGGGCGCACCACAGTCCAAAAACACACTGTTGTTCCTTCGGTTAGCAAAAGGCGGCTCTGACTGTGCTTCGTCTTCTGGTCGTGCACGGCGCAACGTGCACCGCTCGTGCATTAAAGGGCCGACGGGAATGCTTTATATGAACTTTGACCATACTGCATAATTGAAGGCTCACGCCGGTGGGCGGCAAAGGAAATCCCCCACACCAGATGGTAGCGTTCGGCGCCTTTTCTTTCGTTTCCCTTTTTCGTTTTTTACTTTTGCCGCTTCAGCGTTGCGGTTTTTCCCTTTTTTTCCGAAAGCGTTTCTGTTTTTTCTGCCCAGATCCTCCGTTCCGTCTGCTGCATGCAACCTGCATGGCTGGCTTGTGCTGGGCGGCGGTGCCGCCTTGTGGAAGAGACCGGAGCGCGGCACGACGCTAGGAGAACAAGAGCTGCCACCGAGGCAAAGTGACCACGCTGCCGTGAGTCGGCAGTACCGAGGGGTAAATTCGCGCAATGACTTTTCTCAATGGTATCTAGCAGACAATAATAGTAATAGGGTCAGATTCCGCCCAGGAAAATTTTAGCGTGAAGATGCCCGCGTTTAGCGTGAAGATGACCGCCACTTCGAGCTTCCCTGGATGTAGATGACCGTAGCTAGCGTCAAATTCAGTCGGAAAAGCTGAAGTGTGAAGGCGCTCTTACCAGTTTCATAACCCCTTCCTGGCTGTTCGTTTCCACGCTGGCGCTTCTCCTTCGACAGGCGAGATCCGACTTACACGAGTCTGTGTTTCTGGCCGTCGATTCCTGCTATGTACGGTTCCGAACGAAGAATCTACGTACGTGGAACCTAGCCCCCCTGTTGGGCCAGACGCAGATGCACAACGGCGCTTCCCGAAGCGGCAAAACCGCAACACCGAGGTACGGATGTTGGGATGGGGGTGGCGGGAAAGGACGCCCACCTCTCCCTCTCTGGGCGCGCTGGGACTTCCCTAGTAGACGTATCTGGCAGTAGTTACCGCCGACTTGGGACGTATCTGACCACAGGTGCGTCCAGAGCCGAGTCAAAGAAGTCCTGTTTTCCTCCAGCTGGCCGCAAAAAACAAACCGGATGAATGAGGGGCCGTGTAGAAGTGCACAACAATTCAATATCAACTGATTAGTTCGTTGCATCTGTTGTCATTTATTGTTGGTCGCTGAAGGTGGAACCAACAGAGTTATGATTCACTCGCCAGGTCGTCCCAAGTGGTGGCCACGACGCCGGTTTCTGCGGGTCGGATCCCTTTATGGACCACATGCAGATGCACTACGGCGTTCCACGCATAGGCTATTCTTGGCACAAGTCCATTGTCATGAGCCAGTCGGCTATTCTCCTGCCCTAACAACAGAGTGACAGCAAAGGAGCATTCTCTTTCTTTTTTCTTCTTTTTGGGCGTGCTCGCAGAACCCATCCCTTCCTGCCTCAGCATTTTTCCTTAGGGCATACTCACACGGGGACCTATAATCCCAAAATCCCCAAAAAAAGGGGGAAATGCCGGTCACACTTATCCACCAGATTCACAAATGTACTATTCCAGTGCCCATTTGTCAGCGGCCTGGGAAGCCGCGGGGCACGGGATTTTTTTTTTTTTTTTTTTTTTTTTTTTTTTTTTTTTGGGAAAGCAGTATCATTGATTTCAAAAGGCATGGGACGAGGCCGGGGACCTCACAATTCAACCTGGAGTTATCCTGGCAGCCTCAGCCAGTTTCGCTTATAAACTCAAAATCAACCTTTGAGCTAAACTATTCCATTCAATACAATTCTATCAGCTGGAAACTAGGTCCAGCGTCCCACCCAAAAAGGCTTCCCAAAAAGTAAATAGATGAAGCGCAGATCAAAAGAGATGAGCTATTGACGAAGCTTTAGCTCATAAAATCTTCAACATATCTGGTGCGTCTTACGGCAGACCTTGGGGAGCCAGCCGACCATACCACTCCGAAAATGAATGCCGCTCCTCTAGGTCCCCTACCCACCCGTAAAGCTGTTTTCAATCTTAGCCTAACCAACTTCGGCCAAGATACCACCTGTAGAGCCTAATCCGGCTCCAACCATTTTGAGACATGCATGTCACCTTCAGCTGTAAAAACCGCTAGTTTGTTCCTCAAAGTCCAAGTTTTTTGGAACCACAATCTAGAATTTCCTTGTGTCCCCACGCAGTTCCTCCAATCAGCAAGAATGCATTTTCGGCAGCTGCTGCTGTTGTTGAAAAGTGTTATACTTTTCCTTCCTAAATACCATAGCATTTCTAGCTCTCCAAATTTCCTGCATGAGTAGACCTCTGCACACCAAAGCCACATACCCTAGTCCCGAAGAGAAGACCAGCTTGGGACCCGGCAAAATACCGTATAGAACCCAATCATCATTCCAATGAAAGTCATTACCAAACATTCTTTGCCAATGGGTACTCCACCATAATCCCAACTCGTCCGCTAATGGGCAGTGGACCCATACATGTGAGGTAGACTCCCACCCCTACTCACACCGACTGCAGGAAACCGACATTTGAACGCCTTTCGATGCGAGCCACAGGGCCGATGGGATCACCTGTAGTGATTGGGACCACATCAGGCTGGCATCTATTTGTGAGGGAATTTTCCTCAGTTCCTTCCATAAAGCACACCATTCGGGCTCCTCCTGTCCTGGGCCCTTGATTCTTAAGAATCTTCGCGAAGCAAGGGACTTGGGTTGGAGTGACTGCTGAGCTTGAAGGTATTTCACCCCCACCTTTGTTTTGTACTGAGATAGAGGGGTGGGTTTCAGCTCCGAACCATTCCCTTGGGGCAAGGGATTTTGCAGTCACCTCTGGAGGTGACCGCAAATTCCCTTTTTTTCTTTTTTGCATTTTCTTCAAAATTTGGCAAAAATTCGTTCACAAAAGTTCTTGCACAATTGGTGCATAGCCCCGTGTGACCAGCCAAGTACCAAATCCCCATTTCTCCAGACGGCCGCGACCTTGTCCCATCTGAAAAGGTACAGCAGTGTGATGTGAACCATGCCCGAAACCTCAAATCGGCCCTTCCCAAATTGCGGATTTGGGGTCGCCGTGTGAGTACTGTTTCCAGGACCGTCCTCCGAAAGGTGAAATTTCTCCTGCAAACCGTTTTCCGGGACCCCACAGATCGAAGGTTGCGGCTTGGAAAAACATAGTTTTGTGTTTTCACATAGTCCGCAGCCTGGAAAAGTCTCACGGGAGGATTCCTCGCCGTAATTTTGTACCAACTCTAGGGGGAGGGTGTGTCGTTCCTGGAAAAGTCTCGGAAAAGTCTCACAGGAGGCAGCACCCAATAGCGACCAAGAGTGCCACAAAAAAATAAGGAAAAACAAAGAAAACAAGAACAAAACAAATGAGCGCCGATGAGGCAACGATTGGCTCAACTGATTGGGTTTCCCAAGAGCATTTGAGCGGAGGAAATGACGCCGCAAATTTGTGCCGAAAGCTGAGGTTGGCCCCCAGAGCCGTCTTGAACTTTTCCAAAACCAGGTCCTGTGGATGGGAGTGTCACAAAAAAAAAAAAAAAAAAAAAAAAAAAAAAAAAAAAACAAACAAACAAACAAACAAACAAACAAACAAAAAAACGGAAAAAGAAACGAAACAAAAGAGTGCCAACGGAAACAGGCAGGCAACTATTGGCTCAACTGATTTCCAGAGGGTTTTCCAAGCGCATTTGGTCCTCTGCCATGGGGTCCCGGAAAAAGTACTTTCCGACTTTCCAAAATGACATCCGCACCACAGTGGGGTCCGACCTTATGTGAAAACACAAAACAATGTTTTCGCAAGCCACTATCTTCGGACTGTGGGGTCCCGAAAACGGTTTGCGCAAAAAAGTTCTCCTTTTCCTGGACATTTGCTGCAGGTTGTGGGGTCCTGGAAACAGTTTTGCAGCAAAGTTTTTCCTTTTCCGCGGTGACCGTCCTGTGGGGTCCAAGCCTAAGGGGTGGACCCCACAGGAAAAAGGATGCAAGAAAAAGGGGCAAAGAATTTTGGAAAGCTGGAAAGCAGTTTTGCGGCCGTTTTCCAGACCGTGGACCATGTGAAAATGTCCACAGGCGATCTTCCAGGCCACGAAATGCGGGCTGTGGGGTCCCGGAATACGGTTTTTGGAAGACATTTTGGCCTTTCCATAAACTTTTCCGCGAGGTGTGCGGTCCTGCAAACACTTCCGCGGCAATTTTTTTCCTTTCCGCATTCCTATGGGGTCCAGGCCATAGTCTGCAGCCTGGAAAAGTCTCACGGGAGGGTTCCTCGCCGCAATTTTGTGCCGACTCTAGAGGGTAGTGGGGAGGGCATGTCATTCCTGGAAAAGTCTCACGGGAGGCAGCAGCCAATAGCGACGAAGAGTGCCACAAAAAAAAGGTAAAAAATAAAATAAAAGAACAAAACAAACGAGTGCCAATGGGGACAGGCAACAATTGGCTCAACTGATTTCAAAAGGGTTTTCCACGTGCATTTGGTCCTCATCTGTGGGGTCCCTGCAAAACTGCTTTCCAGCTTTCCAAATTCTTTGCCCATTTTTTTTGGCCGGCCACTTTTTCCATCCTTTTTCCAGTGGGGTCCAAGCCTTAGCGGAACCCCTGCGCCCACCTCGGATATTCCAAACAGTAGTTGCAGGCACCAGTGCTAGGCAAGGCCAACAGCGTCCCAGCCCCACTTGAAGTGCTATCAGACAAGCTGTGTCACATTGGTCACCAAGCTGTAGTCATATCCAATCCTATGAGCACCTACCCAGATATCAAGTGTTCCAATGGAGCTAACATAGGCAGTGTCTACAGGCCATACTGTGCTAGCTGTTTTAGTCTTGGACCCACTGGAAAAAGCGGCCGGCCCAAAAAAACGGGCAAATAATATATATATATATATATGAAACTCCGACGAAACAGTTTGTCACAGCCCCTCGTTTGTTGTCCTCTTCTCCCTCTCTGCCTACGGTTTACCGGGCAGTTCTATTTGACGATATATATATATATATATATGCCTACGGTTTACCGGGCAGTTCTATTTGAC